ATGAAAAGAAGTTCCTGTTACTTGCACACATCTGTGGAAAACATTCTGCAGTCAGAGAAATCTCTGATTGGTTCAGCACATTGCTAAACAATAAACCAGCCAGTCCAAAAATTCCCTTTTTTTCTATCCAAATAGTTGTTCTCACTGATGGAACCTGTTGGAATGGGCACTGCATACTATATGGTGATAGTATGTACTTGAAGGGCTGGGATAACTTCATATTTCTTGCCTAAGAAACCCCTCTCCTCAAGGAAACCAAAAGAAAAGGTATAGATTGAGATTTTCAAAAAAAGTCTAGGGGATTTAAACCCAGATCCTGCATTAAAACTAATGGAATATCTGGGTCTAAATATCTTAAGGCAACTTTGAAAACCTGAGCCCACGGATTATAGGGCTCAGACCCCACTGGCAACTAACATCTCAGGTAATATTGAAGGTCCTGATTTCAGATATTGATCTTTTTCGCTGCAGAAGTACAAATATCAGGATTAAAATAAACCACAGTGGAAAGTCATTCCTTTCTCTCACTGGACCAAAGCTTGAGTTCCTAATGCAAAATTCCTAATCCAAAGCCTAGCCTCCTTTCTCAGGCAATGTTACAAATGGCTAAATCCTGAGTGGTTCTCAGCACGCAGAATATCCATTGATGTCTCAGGAGTGCGCCCTTTGAAATCAATGGGAGTTTTGACTAGGTGAATTAGGACTCAACACTCAGATCTATAACCTAAGGGATCTTTGACTCCTCTCTTGCTCTGCACATCCAGACTGCATCCAGATTTTGCTGCTGCTTCTGTAACATTTCTAAGAGCAATTCTTTGTGTGCTGTTCAGAGAGTCAAAACTCTTATCCAAGCCTTCCTCGTCTCCTGTCTTGATTATCATAAACAACTCTTCTCTGGCATACCTGACATCCCGTTGTACCCCTTCGGTCCACACAAAACCCAGCTAATAAGGTTGTCTTCTTTCCCTGTCATTCTAACCTCCTTCGAGAGCCTAATTCAAAGCCCACTGGGAATCTTTCCATTGACTTCAAATCTCTCCATTGTCTCCCTCTTTTTCCAACACAAACTCAAGCTTGACTTTGATTCCTTGTTCAAGCTTCATTCATTTTCAAGACCCTTCACAAGTTTTCCTTCTGTCTTATTTCCCCTATTTCATCCTGGGTCCTCTTCTCCATTGGTAGTGCTAACCTCGTCTGCCTGTTTGCTAGCTTCCCACCGGGACCTTCTTCCACACTGCCCCTTATGCATGGAATGCCACCCCTCATCTCTTCTGTACTACCCTCTTCACCTTCAAATCTCTTCTTGAGACCTGTTTCTGCAAGATGCCTATAAGAAACCCAGCACTGGCAATTGATGAGTCTCATGATATTTGGTGTTTTACTTAGATCCAAGTGAATACAGGATCACCTCAGCTGCTTTGTTGTTATTGTTTGTTAAATAACTATCTAGCCCTCCTGGTTACAGAGAAAAGTTTGAAAATGTGACCTGACCAGAACTCTAAAGGCTCAAACACCAGAAGAAATGTGTAAGAGTTTGTAGGATTGGGGCCTCAGATTGTAAACTCAACTAAGAAAAAATTGATTGGACATTTATATAGATATCATGAATATTCTGAGTGTTCATAATTATCATCATCATCATCCTTTTGGAAAGGATATTAAACTTCAGATCACCAGCCCATCTCTAGCTATTAGAGATCAGGATGAGACGTAATGCAAACGGGTAGATTATCCCACATCTGCTACCGTGGGGTTCTCAGTTCTTCCTCTACTGTATCTGTTGCTGGCCACTGTCAGAGACAGGAGACTAGGTCTCCCAATTCCCACGTTCTTAACTCTTCAAGGCAGGAAGCATGTTTTCATGTGGGTTTTGTACAATAGGGAACAGTTCCTGATTGTACCTCTAAGTGCACCAGGACGTGAATAGCAATGAGATCAGGATCTGCTTCACTGTCTTCATTTGGATCTACCTTAAAAATAATTAAAGCCCCAGTGATAAAGGACCCTTATCAGGAACGGGGAAGAGTTTCATTCTGAGACATAAGAAATAATATTAAAAAAATAAACACAGCCCTGGAAGTCAAGCAATGCTGGAGCCCTCTACTGTCTCCTCTGCCTCAGTGCCTAATTAGATTTATTTCAGGTTTCAGAGTAGCAGCCACAAGTACTCCTGTTTTTTTAATTAGATTTAGTATCCATTTAAATCCATGTCATGCCCTATAACCATGTTACTTGTACAACATGGCATGGCTGTTGATGGTACTGCATGCAGAATCTCATGTCAGAACCCTGACTGGCTCTCAGAGCTTCCCTCAGAGTCAGACTACAGCAAAAAGGATATTTACAATGAGCATGTAATCTGTCATTGAAAAAAAATGGTCATTGCAGGCTATGCTCAGAATCTGTGCCATCATGCCTTGTCCTTGCACAGAGGGTTCTGCATTATCGTTATGGGGTCCTGGCTACTCACTTGATACACTGTTGAACTGAATGTGTTCCCCCAGACCATGGACAGGAGAGGCATCCAGGTTGCAGACAGAATGGTCTGAAACCCTGCATGCAAACTGACCATTTCACATGGTGGCCGGATCAAGAATAATCCCAGTATTCTCCTTCTGTCTTTATGCCCCAGAATGATAACATGAGAGTAGCAAACTGACTGACTGCCTAAGACATGTGGGGTGACCCTGCTAGGGAATCACTGAGGCCGGTTGTTATTCCCCCGACACATCCTAAGATAGTGTGTAAAGGTTTCCTATAATTTTGGCAGCAATGGATACTTGGTGAAAGCCCATCCTTCCGAGATCTCCCCCTCCCACCCATCCACCACAGGGCCACATGACCTTGGGTTGCTAAACCCTGTCCGGAAGCTGAACAAGAATGACCCTGAGATCAGCAGGATGAAGAAAAGATGCAATTTTAAACTGTGCCCTCCCCACGCCAAACAAAACGACACCTAGACACCGCTGTCAGTAGGTGAGGAGTAGACTGTGAGGTTCACCAGGTACACCACGGATCACTGCTCAGCCACACAACACATATGGGCAATTAACCTGATAGGATGACAACAGACAGCATATGAACATGGGGCCAAATTCAGACCCATTGTGCCTGACAGCAACTCCACAGAAGTTGATGGAATTACATACACTTAGATCAGGGCTGATGGGGACCAGATAACCCATTTTTTGCAAAACATAAAGAAGGTATAAAGGAGGTGGTAGCTCTGGCCATTTCTTGCTACTCTCTATCTAAGGTGTTTGGGTGACCCAATCCTGCAGGGTGCTGAGTACCCTTTGTGAGGTGCTGATCATACCCATCTCCACAGAGGTGCTCAGTTTCTTGCAAGATCAGGTCCACAGAGCATCCAACATGGTAGTACCTAAGCACTGTGAACCTGCTCCTAAGCCCATGGACATTTTTCAATGGGTTTTGAATCAGGCCCCATCTGTGACCCTTTCTACATTAAAGAATTTTGCACCAGTGAAAAACCCAAATGTAGAGAAGCTGCACCAGTGCAAAATGAGGCTTACGGAAGTGTAACATGAACCAGTGATATACATGTACTGGTGCAGCATTTCTACCTTTGGGGTTTGTACTGGCTGAGCAAATTTTCACTTTTCCACCCAAGTTCACAATCCTCTTAGCAAGTCTAGCAGGTTACACTTTTTGTGTCATAAGAGGATGCCTTCGATTTAGATGAATGGCTATGAAAATTAAACTAACTCAGAGGTATAACAAAGCATCTCTACGGAGAGGGGAAAAACTTCCAGCCACCTCAACTTTAACCTTAGGGGAAACTTAGTGTATGTAAAGTCATACTCAACTTTTTTTCTAAAAGCATTGCTCTGAAATCTGGTGATAAAAGGAACTATTCCAAATGACAGAACAGAATGACCAAAGCAATAAGAAGCTGTAGGTGAGAAGAACTTTTTCATTGGACTAAGTAAAATGAAAATAAAATCACTTTTTCCTTGAGTATTTAACATTCTGGTTTTCCTAAATATCCAGTGTATTTATCTTTTTTTAAAATCAGGTATCTTGCTGCATAACTAATTGTAATTTAGAATGGGCTTTTATACTAATGGAATCTGGGAGCCACTGCAAAATAGAGGGGGTTAACTAGTTTCTTTTCCACACTTTTTTGGAGAGCTTCCTATCTTTTTGACTTGTATATAGTGCAATTTGAAGGTCTTTAAATTACAGCAAGAAGCCACCAATGCAAAAACAATGACGTATCATATGAGTGGTAAATAACATGAGTAAGCATTTATCCTCACTGTATACTATTGGTTAGTTAAGCAGTAAAAATATGCATTTCATTAACTGGGAACAAAGAAAATCTGACTGAGACCTGAGAAAAACTGGCTGACTTTAAAAAAATGCCTTAAGAAAGTCTATATATTTTCCATCATAGTGACCAAAATCAGATTTTCTTTGAAACAGAGTATTCAGCCGTTAAAGAATTGTTTTTTTTTAATCAGCTAGTCACTTAAACTGGAACATTTGGATCTAATGGGGAAAATGGTTGAACAGTAACATTTCAGTCAGACTGGCATTTCCTCTGTAAGAGGTGAGCTAAAAATTAATGCCTCTGGTAACGTTCCCTTGCCATCTCCTTTTAGAAGTGCCTCAACCTTTGCAGGTCAGAGAAAAAGCAGATATAACCAGGTTTTTTCCCCTCCCTCCCATCCTTCCCCATTGCCAATTTTAGGACACTGTAAAGTATCCACTATAGCATCTACACTAATCACAATAACAAAACATTTCAATTCACAAAGCTGGGCAAATCTACTATATATATCATTGCAGAAAGACATATTGTAGCTACTGTAGAAGTTACCAAAACAAAAATAAAGCCATAAGAGTAGAACCTTTTTCAGGTCCCTTGGAGATGATGTCTTTTACAAACCCTAAGTCAAGCCTCTTTTAAGTGCCAATTGATAAAATGTCCATGCCTTGGCGAAGGATTCATCTAAAACAAAAACAAACCAACTTACTTGTCTAAAATGAAGTACAAATCAAATCCTCCATAACAAGCAGGACCTCCGTTCTCTTTTTTTCCACCTTGTCCATCACAGGCTAATACAAACGTTGCGAAGAAGAGAAATCTAAAGCCAAATCTCAAGACTCTTTGCTTTGCAATTGCCATTATATCCAGAAAGGGGGGGAAAAAGTTCTCTTCTTCCAAAGCTCCCTTATTTCACAGCCTTCTCCAAAAATGCCATTCAATGGCTTTGAAATGTATATACATATATTTTGCTCCTTAAACTCCACTTGCAGCAATTGTCCTCTGAAATTGCAAGACTTTTTCCCCTTGTTTCCCCTGCAGTTCTGTTTCTTGGTTTCAGATTTCAAGATGCACAATACTGTATTTCGCTTTTTTTATTTAAAGGGACTTCTCCGTCACTCTCCCCTGCAGCTCTCTGAAAGCAGTATCATTGTTTTGCAACAGGAGAAACTACTTCCTGACAATTCTTGCTTTGCCCCAGATTTCAGAGAATCTGAGGAGGGTTTGGAGTGTTTCTTCTTAATTATTATTGTTATTGTGGGTTTTGTTGTTTCTTACAAAAGAAAGTTCAGAGAATGCCATCTTGTGGTGAAGTCCTGACGAAACAGACTGGAGCCTCTGAAAGGATATTAATTAGATAGAACACTCATGCCCTGAGCTTACAAAGTGCATGCTGCAGCAATTTTGGTTGCATACATGTGACCTATCTTGCATACACTGATGCACGGGCCTACCTGGGACTACTCACTTACATAACATAACACACATACATGTTTGGTGTTTGCCACCCATTTAGGTAGGGGTCTGAATTCTGTTCTCAGGCACATAAGTGTAAAGCCAGAGTTACTCCAGACTTACAGCAGCAGTAAATGAAAGGGAGTTTGGCCCAGTGTATTTTTCTAGTCATTAAACATGCAGTTATTTATTAAGCACACTTATCTCCCTACCTAATCAAGGAGGTGCCTTTCCAGAATTTCCCTTAATAAGCTCATTTCAGCACCTGAGGCTACAGCATTTCTCCTGCCTGGCTGATTAGCCAAGAAAACGCAGCAAGGTTCTGTAGTCCCACTCATTCTTTGCTACAAGATGGTTTCTTGGAATCTGCAAAGGCAGTTCTGTGGGTTTAGACAGGTGAATCCTGTCTGAGCCCACCTGTGTTCTTGTATGCTAGGGAAAATTCTCACTGTCAGAGCACAGGGTGCTGAGCCGCCACTGGGAATAGGGAGTGAATCTAGCAACACAGCAAGATAATTTATGAACCCCCATCTACCAAATACCTCTCAAGAATTAGCAAAGCAACAGCAGTGCAGCTGAACATTAGAATCATAGAATATTCGGGTTGGAAGAGACCTCAGGAGGTCATCTAGTCCCATCCCCTGCTCAAAGCAGGACCAACACCAACTAATTAGCCCACAAAGCCCTGGCTGGGCAGCTTCAGGTGTCTGTAATGAACTCATTAAGGAGAGTGACATAAGGGAGTTTGCCTGGTTTTAAATAAGGGAGATAGATGGGGTGGAGGAGAGTATTACAAAAGAACTAAGCTAGCCTGTGGGATCCTTAAGCTTATGTGTTATGCTATTGTTTAAACATCAGCTAAGCCTAGTTATACCACAGACATTGCAATAGCCTCGCATATCATTAGTAGTAGAGACAACCCCAAGCATTCAAAAATCATGAGGTGTGGGTTTTTTTGAATGACACATTGTGGGTCCTTTTTATTTCACCTTGATTTCTGAGCCTTTTAGCTGTGCAGGGGTTGGCTTTTAAGCTGTTTCTCTGCAGCCACGAGGGCCAGACACCTCCTTATTTTTAAATGAAAGTGGAGATTCTCATGTAAATATCTTGACTCTAGGAGCTGGGGTTTAAAGAAAAAAACACAAATAATCAATGAGATTGCAAAAGTTGTTCAACGCTGGATTAAGAGCAAGCAACAGGCACCTATGTCTGGATCCTAATATTCACAGAATATGTCACCCCTTGAATCTGGGTATCATCCCCATTAACATACTAGCCTAAATGCTTCCAGAACTTGCTCCGCATGCATGTTAGGCCTGCCCTCCACTCACCTTGACCTTGCAGAGTCCCTGACTCCCTACTCCACCTCCAATGTGGGGGGGAGGTTAACAAGCAAGCCCTACTGCCCCACAGTCCATGCACACCCCGGGGGAACTCTGCAGTGCTAGGGGAGAGTGGCTTTTTTCTCACCTGCTGCTATGGCTGCCACTGCTGGATTGAGCCTGAGATGGTACTACTTGTGGTAAATAAGCAAATCTCTTCTGAGTAGTTCTGTGCTCACCTAGCTGTGGTCTAGGGAGGCCTGTGCTGGGAATCAGGAGAGCAGAGTTCTATTCCTGACTGCACCAATGGCTTCCTAGCCGGCAGCAGATCAACCTGTAGTTAAGTGGCTAGGGCACCAGCGTTGGATTCAGGGGACTTGTGCGCTCTTCCCATCTCTGGCAGTGAGCTGCTGGGTGAGTTTGGGCATGTCACTTCCCTGCTTTCTGCCTTAGTTTCCCCATTTGTAAAGTGGGAGTAATGATACCGATCTCCTTTGTAAAGCTCTTAGCGATCTAAACATAAAAAAGAACTAGGATTATTAAGGTTGGGCTTTTAAGCCCATACCTCAGCAGCTAAATAACTGTCCTCACCCACCTTGTCTCTCTAATATCCTGGGACCGACATGGCTACAACAACACGGATTTCCAGAGGCATTGAGCTCTCAACAGATCTCATTTAAGCTAGTTATTATATTTTCACCAATCGGAATCCTTCCAGTGCCATCAGACATTGCTTAGGACACATACAAGGTTACACCATCCCTGTCTATCCTGGGTCTTTCTGCATTTTCTCTGTGTTGTTAAGTCCCATGAGTTTTTCTTTTCTATGTACTTTTCAGTGTAAGGATTCTTTCACCCAACCCCTTTTATATGTTCCTCCAGCTACCCCATGGCACACCTGCCATGGCAGATGCTTTGGTTTCATTCTTAACACATGTCCCACATATGTCCATCTTCTCTTCTGGAGAACTTTAGAGATAAGGAATTGTTGAACTCTTTGACAAATCTCAGAATTTCTTATAAATTCAATCCATCAACTATCTAGTATTTTCCTTAGCCATTTGCTTTCAAAGACATTTAGATGTCAGCCTGTGCCTATGATGGATTCCCAGGTTTCACATCAATGTGTTGGGGTAGAAATAACATTTGAGTTGAAGACTCAAAGACTCGGCTTTAAGTTGTAGATTTTCAATGGTCAGATCTTGTTTAAGCCATGTGTGGCATTTTGGCTGCTTCAGTACTCTGCAGCCACAATAGCCGCTGGGTGCTCTGGAGCGCAGCTATAGCTCCTGTAGCAAGGGTATATGGACACGCAGAACAGAAAGGATCTTGCATTTGAAAGTTTCACCTGGGAGACCCTTCTAAATCTAATAAACATACACTTGAGGGACTTCCGCTGTGAGGCCGATGTTGAAAACACACCGGGCAGCTGTGTAAAAGGCTGGTGCACATGCCTAGGTGCGGTACTGTGTTGGAGAGGGAGGCCTGGCTTGTGCATGAGTTTAGACATTTGATGAAGAAAATGATCTGAATACAAGAAACAAAAATTCCTCTAAGTGGGAAGGGTGAAGAAAAAAAAATCCCTTGACGAGCTTTGGCCAGATTCTGGTCTCATGGTCACCACCGTAACTTCACCAAAGTCAGAAGAATAGCTCCGGGCTTCCGCCATCATGACTGCAGTCAGAATCCAGCCCTCAGCCTATAACCTGCTAAAAGTGAAAAGCTAAACTGAAAAAAAATTATATATATTTAGATTCGTTTCCAGTTGGCCCTGAGATGAGAAAAAGCAAGCAATGAAAATCCTGAAAGAGCCTCAGGAAAATAAGTTTGGCCAGATGCTCTAAGCGAGCAGAGAAAAAAGAGGGGAAAGGCAGGGAATCATATTCCCTATATGCATCTATGGATTCAGGCTGACAGTCGGCTCAATATGGCTTGGGAAAGAGCCAGTGAATAAGGCATCTGAGAAAGCTTGAAGCAGTGATCAAGATGGGGAGAGCAACTGATAAAGTGAAAAGCAGTTCATACTGTGCCTTGGCTTTGGGTTTTCTTTCTTTAGAGCTATTTCTCATCCATTTGTTCCTCTCTGCAAGCCTGCTTTTTTCTTTGTGGTCAAGTGACAGTGGCAAGATGATTGTGCCTACAAAAAGAAGCCCTGGCTCTTTTACAGATTCTGGCAACCATGTTCGAGGCGGGAGGGTGGGGGGGCAGGATGTCAGAATTTCCACCTCTCTCTGTCCCTCACTCACTAAAAATGCTAGACACGAAATGTTGTAGAAAAGCACAGTAGAGCTTTGTGTTAAAGACCTAGTAATTTTGGGGAAGTGGATTTCATGGGCTGCAGTATGTGTGTGCGTGAGACAGAGAGAGAATTAACACATTAACTGTCGCACTGCTGTATGTAATTATGCTACAGCTGGTGCCGCTTGTGTGTGAAGCTAATTTCTGTGTGTAAATGATGCGGGGGTGGGGGGGGAGTATAGGGGAGAGTGCTGTAGGCTGCCTGTCTGCCCCTCCCCAGTCTTATTATCTTCCCTGTTGTACTGGTCATGAGAGCCCTCTGAAATTTAGAGCCCTAGTGTTATTGGTTTTGCCCGTCTCTTACAATGAATGTTTTCTTTTATGAAGTGAGATGTGCAGTGAGCATATTGCCCTGTTCTCATGGGAGTTCTCATACACAGCATTGTGGGAAGCTTGTGAGCATACAGCACACTAAACTGCTGTACACTAAGTTGGCATATGGACCCTGCTGATGTGCACTAAAAAGTTCCGCAGTGGGTTTATCACAAGAGATGTTAGGCATAGTAGCAGCAAAAATTTAACAATGCCTTATTAATTATTTGAAAAGCCAATCCTCGAAGGACTGTGTTCAACATGCTTGACTTTAAACTTCAGTCTATCCTTTGTGGTTAAATTAACAATATTCATTTTTATTGATAAAGTACCTAACATGTGCTGAGCTAAAGAGAACAGGTAAAATCCTGACTCCATGAAAGTCAATGTCAAAACTCCCATTGACTTCAATGGGGCCAAGATTTCACCCACAGTCCCCACATCAAGGAGCTTATGCTAGACCCAGACTGCATGGAAACCATGAAATTAGCTCAATGCCGCAATTTTTCAGTGCCTTCAGTCCACCATTTTAGATTGGGTCTCCGCCGGTGCCATTAGAGCAGAAGAAAGAGCCAGTGCCATCATTGCTTGGAAGACGAGCAGCTGGGGTCTCAGCTGGGAGGTGGAAGCGGGCATCTGCATATGCCAGAAAAGACCACAATTGCACGGTCTTGTCACCTTCCTTCCGTACAGATTCTTTCCCTAGCCTGCAACAGCGTCATGTCAGAGCAGCAGTTTGGGAGGACCCAGTGGCCTGGCCTTATGCATGGGAATGTGGCAGTGCCCTTCTGCTGACTACATTCCGTGCATATTCCGTGAGATGTAGTACTTTATCCCTGACTCTGCTGGGAATTTGCTTAAAAAACAACAACAACACGTGCTTAGGCATGAGGCCATGAGTCAGAGCAACAAAAAGAAGCAGAGAAGGAGAGAGAGGATGAGGGTTACAATAATAACATTCAGTGGTTACTTAGGTTCATTGGGCCAGATCCTCTGCTGGTGGAAATCGGCATAGCTTCATGTTCACCAATGGAGCCACATCAGTTTATAGCAGCTAGGGATCGGGACCCTTATGTGCATGTCATGATGGGGCTGCTGTTTAATTTAAAAAAAAAAATCATATTCAAATAAAATGTGGTTCAAGACTGGCACCCAGTGGCCAAGTGGATTTATTTCCCTCTAGGTCATTCCTGTGTTCCAATGGGTTGGATGAATTCTTCCTCTTCGATTCATCTGACTTTGTTTCTGCAATATTTGGCCTCTGCTATAATATCCGGGCACCCTGGTCCAGTGTCTTTCTATTGATTAGAGCTTGTCAAATAATACCACTAATTCAATGCATGTCTATTTAATGTCTTCCTGACAGTGAGAGGTATTATGCTGTGGTGTAGTCACCCAAAAGAAGTAGAGGAAGCAATTTCACATTGCTTGAGAAATTTAATACTAGACTGGCCAAAACACTAGAAAATGAGCCATAGAGAACAGTCCTGCCCTGGACAGGAAATGAAGTGAATGGTCTCATAGGTCTTTCCTTTTTCTAGCATCTCCATTTCAACAATTTTGAAGCACTTTACCTGCATTCATGCCTTCTCACAACAACACAGCAATATAGTGAAGCAATTTTTATAAACTAGATAAGCAGAAGTTAAGGCAACTATTGTCAAAAGTGACCTTTATAATTTTGGGTGCCTCTGATTTTGCATAGCCTAATGGAGATCACTAGGGTCCAGCTGATTCCCACTGGTACCTTGCTCCTACCACTCCAATTGTAGTTAATGGGAACTGAGGGTGCCCAGCACTTCTGAAAATCAGGCATCTAAAGTGGGTCACTCAAAAAAACCAGACACACTCAGAATTGGAAGCAGCTTTTGAAAATTTGGATGTAGGGCTGCCAGCCTGTGTCCTCCAGACCCAGAAGGACTAACGCCACATCCAAGTCTCTTTCAGGTCCTTCGCTCAGTACAGAGTTTATTACTTTGAGAGTTTTGTGTGTAAATTAACACAAACAAAGATTTCAGAGTGATACCTTGTTGATGTTCCCTTGACCAACACAGGCTGCAGGGCCTATGGGCCTTTCCAATTGCACTTCTATCTCTGCTCTAGGGCCAGTCGCAGAGAGATCTGAAGGAAGAAACTAACCAATTTCAGCCCTTTATAGGCATCAAGGGACCTCTTAAGGTCCCTTCCAGCCCTACATTTCTATGATTCTATGATCATCTGACCCCTTCCTAGCTGGGTCTGATAATCAAACAGGGCTGGCTGTCCCCAGGCCCCTGACCCTCAAAGGAGCACACCATTTAGTGACATTGGGCTCAAATGATTTACTCAAGTTTACCCAGTGACCTAGAGCCAGATCCACAAAGGAGGTTAGGCACCTAAGTCCCAGTTTTAGGCACCACTGCAAACATCAAAACCCGCTCAGCTGCCGCCAAACGCTGTAGACGCCTAAAGTCACTCAGCATCTAAATTCCCACTGTAAAAATTCCCTCAGTGCCAGGCATGCGCACTGCTGCCTCATTCTAGGTGTCCAGTCACCTATGTCATACCTAGGCCCCAGCCTCAAACCAGGGTAGGGCAGGATCCAGGTGTGACAGAGCCAAGAATAGAACCCAGCGGTCTTGACTCTCAGTCCCTCTGTCAATTATTAGCCCACACAACCTAGTACTGGGTTAACTGCAGTCTTCACTAGTCAAATATAAGTGATTAGTTAATTCTTATGGCATTACATATCCCATGTTTGGTACATGGAGATATTGTTGACATAGTATGAACCCTGTAATGCTCAAGTCTAAATAAGGCAGTAGCATTTAACTAGGCAATTTACATCTGATTGTGGTGTAATGCATGAGTATGCAAACAGCACCAGCAAAGCACTGTGTGTTCGAATAAGCATTAGGTCCTTTGAATTGATGTTCCAAAGGATTTAAAGTAAAAGGCTCATCACATATGCTCAGCAAGAGGGAGCAAACCAGCATATAATAAAACATTCAGATTTACAGACTTCAGTTTACATAATCCTGAAGAGCTTAAAAAAAAATCCTACTGTATTTTATTTTAACAGCAAAAATAAGCTGCAATGTTAGAGGTGTTTTAGCAGCTTGTGAGGAGTCACAGAGTTCCTGTTAGCAATGTGTGACTGAAAAACACCTCCACTGTCAGGTGAGAACTAGAGAATACAACCTTATTCTGCCTAAAGCCCCATGTTCAAACAATCATCAGTGTCTGACTCATCCCTTCCAAATTGCAGTGTAAAAATAGACTTGGAGAAAACCTGACAACCATGTTATAAGTAAAGAATTATTCATTACTCTTTATCACTTTCAGACTGTAAGCTTTTTGGTATAGCACCCAGAACAATGGGGCCCTGATCTGGTTGTACCAGTGCTACTGCAATCTAAATGTTAAATAATAAAACTAATAAGTAGAAAGGATCATGGTCTAGTGGTTAGAGCACAAGGTGTGGAGTCAGAAGATCTATGTTCTATTTCTGTCACTGACTCTTATCTAATAATGGTTTTGCAGCTGTGTTGGTCCCAGGATATTAGAGAGACAAGATGGGTGAGGTAATATCTTTTATTGGACCAACTTCTGTTGGTGAAAGAGACAAATTTTGGAGCTACACAGAGCTCGTCTTCTTTTTGAGACCTGAAGAAGAGCTCTGTATAGCTCGAAAGCTTGTCTCTTTCACCAACAGAAGTTGGTCAAATAAAAGTTGGTCCAATTACCTCGCCCACCTTGTCTGTCTCTTATCTAACAAATCATTTATACTCTGCAGAACACTGCCATATGTGAGCACCTAACAAAATGATCATCACCACAATACAAAAGCAGTCATAAGAAGTGCTTTCCTTTCGCCTCCTTTGGAGGCATCTGGGAAATATTTTTCTCCTCCTACTCCAGCCCAGGTGGGACAAAACTAACAACTTTTATATGAACACCCCACTCCAGAAATTGGATGATTAAGATAAAATGAGCCATGGATCCTAAGCATTGCTGAGTTTTGGTTTGGTTTTGTAAAGTCAAAACCTAACCACAGAAGTTTTGCAAAGTCCAAAACAAAATATGACCTCTTCATCCTCTGTCTAAGCAAAATCCAGGCTGGGATTTCACTCTTTCTCTGATGGGTATGTTCAGATCTGATCTTTGAGATTCAAGGAGCATATTCTGTAAGAGTGCAGTCATTATTTGTTCTTACGGTGTCCAAATAATAGCATTTATCTTGATGAAGTCTTTGGTTACTGATGTGGAAATGTGTCATTTTGGAGCAATTTCCCTGTAACTACGTTTCCATAGTAATGGGCTTGAGGTCACAAAATGACAGCACTGGGCAAGGAAAAGAAAAAAAAATGATTTATTTTAATAATACAAGGTATCCATCAAGGTATACTGCAATCTTTGCTCAGGCAAAATTCCTATTGATTTCAGTGCAATTGCAGTCAGACTACAAAAGAATTTAGGCAGATAAGGGCTGAATAAAGAGCTTAGATACTATGCTACTGAATGCTGTTATAAGTACCTGGGTAGATAGATACAGATATACTGCCTGGCAGGCTGGCTGACTGATTGAAAGATTGAAAGATCAGCCAAAGGAATCTTTACTGCAAAGCATTTGTAGAAACTAACAGCAGAGTTATCAGACTTTTCTTCTTTCCTTTCTGACACATATAAACACACATGTCATTTCAGCTAGAGACAGGCCCCGGCCACAAAATTCCCATCCAGATTTCAAACTCTCCAGCAGCCTGGTGTATTCAGATTAGGGGCCGTTCAAGGGTTTTGGTTGGTTCAGCTCATTACAGAGAAGGGAACAGGTGTGAAATGTGATATCTGGTGTGGGTTAACTGTGAGCATTCACAAGTAAAGCTGTGGATTCCACTCTTTGTTCCAAATATTGATGCTGTCAGAAATTGTATTGGCCATGGTCCGTATGTTTTTCCAATCATCATTTTATTTTTATTCCCATTCACAGTTGGAGTGTTTGCTGTGGCTGCATGTCAGCACAGGCTTTGCAAAGAAGAGCCAGAGATCAACCATTCTCTGGAATGAGACTGAGTAAAATAGTGGTGAGCCGTGAGGCTGAAATATTATAAGCTTCTGCTATGTCTCTTGGTTAGAAGAGCTTAAGGCCGCCACACAGGTTCACATCCAGAATGAGGAGTTTAACACCCACGCAGCCAGTACCACTAAGTAAATTTTGTGGTCCTATAAAATAAAGACAGGATAAGTCATCCCAGCAACAACGACAACAAAACCCTCAAAATCTTTGCATTCATAAAAACATCTGAAATGCATTGTTCAAATAAATGCAGTTCTAGTAGAAACCACTAACCAACCTCTTAAAAATTAATCTCCTAAAATGCCAACCACCTTCATTCCTGATCTTGTGGCCTTCTGTGTACATATTAGTATTTATGAAATACTAGGCTACTGTACCCCTCATTAATAGAAGCACGGGACCTGATCAAGCACCATGTAAGTCCAATTTTACATTGGCGTAACTAGAGCTGGTAAAAAAAAATTGATCGCAAATAATCAGAGCCACAGAGTTGAAGTCCAGAAGGGACCGTCAGAACATCTAATCTGACCTCCTGTGTATCACAGGCCACCAAACACCAAACAGCACCTGCACACTAACCCAACAACCTATGTTAGACCAAAGTATTACAGCCCACAGGAGACCAGACTATTATGTGCCACAGTTTCCAACAAGTTTCTCTAATGGTTTTCATAACATTTTTGATAACAATCTCATGATACAAATTTGCAAAGAATGAAACATTTTTAAAGCCAAAGGTTTTTCAAACCGATTTGTTTCGGGGGAGGGAGAAAGGCAGTTTTTCAATGAAAAAAAATACGTTGTTGGAAAAATTTCAACCTGATGTAGGTATAACACCACTGGTGAATCAGGCCTAGGAAGTTTTGACCACTAGTCATTTGAATGTAATCAGTAAAGGTTGTTTCAGATGCTGAGTGTACACTTCCGGCCAATTTAAAAAATCATTACATACACTTTTCAAGGCTGCTTTCAGTAAATCTGTTTAGACTGCAAGCTCTTTGAGGGGTAGGGTGACCAGATGTCCTGATTTTATAGGGACAGTTCCAATTTGTGGGGGCTTTTTCTTACATAGGCACCTATTACTCCCGACCCCCATTCTGATTTTTTACACTTGCTATCTGGTCACCCTGTTGAGGGGGGAACTGTTTTTTTGTTCTGTGTTTCTACAGTACTTAGCACAATGTGCTTCTAGGCACTACCACAATAATCATCATCATAATTAATAAATACATTTCTCGTTAAGCTCAGGCTGAACTCACTGTCATATTCAGTAGCCCAGTAGGTGGAAAGTCCTCCACATGTTGCCTGGATGGGTGCCCCAAGTCCAGCTACATTTCTGACATAGTTGCGGGATATCCCATAGCTTCTGTGGAGGGAATTCAGGTCCTGAAAAAATGATGGAAGATTAACCACTTGCTTTGGCCAAAAGCATGAATCAGCCCTGACATCTAGCTGGCTTCCCAGCTTCTTTTGAATTGTTAATAATACTTACGATGGTAATAATGCATTTATATAGCATCTAATATCTTGATGGATTCCCTAAACCACTTCACAGACTACAGGCCAATTTATCTCTGCAGATGAATATGAGAGTTGTGTGCATTCACTTCTGAGCATGATGGGAACCTACAAGCCTGATTCTCCTCTCACTTACGCCAGTGGAAATCAGCAGAAATTCCTTGAGGTCAGTAAAATTATACTGTTATAAAACCAAGAGAACTGAGTGGAAAACCAGACCCTAAACTATATGTACAGAAGGATCCTTTCACCTGTTTCTAAAATGTAGCCACCTATGTCTCGGAATGTGGCGTCTGTTCGGCCTCATGGTGCAATAGTTTAGAACAGGAAGAGAAGAATACCACATCTGATTGAAAATGCTGGGGAGAATTTAGACAAGTTGAAATTTGGTTAGGGCACTAGGATTAATAACCCTACAAAAAGTGCCAAAGGAACTTTAAAAACCACCGGTGAGTAGGCGCTCAGTTTTACAACTCATTTGAAAGACAGTATTATATTGATCCAGTGGCTGCCAACCTCTGTGTGTGTGTGTGTGTGTGTGTGTGTGTGTTTTAGGGCTACCATATGTCCGGATTTCCCCAGAAATGTCTGGCTTTTCAATCTATAAATAGCCGTCCGAGGGGGATTTCTAAAAAATCTAAAAATGTCCAGGATTTCCCCCCGGTCGGCTATTTATAGATCGAAAAGCGGCGGCCAAGCACCGCTCGGCAGCCAAAGCCCCTTCTCGGCTCCCCCCATCCCCTGCAGCCTTACCACGCCCCCGGCTCCGCAGCTGTCTTCTCCCTCCTCCCCTCCCCTGAACGCTCCGCCCCCCCTGCTCCTCCCCCTCCCCTGAACGCTCCGCCCCCCTGCTCCTCCCCCTCCCCTGCTTCCCGCGAATCAGATCTTTGCGGGAACTCTGAAAAGATGCAGGGGCAGGCAGGCAGCAGCAGGTAAGCTGGGGCGGGGGGACGCGAGGAGGAGGGCTCTGGGGAGGCGCGGCGTGGCCCAGTCCGGCCCTGGCCGAGCGGCTCCGGCCCCAGCGGCTCCGGCCCGGCCCGGCTCGGGCCCCGGGGCACCGGCCCCAGTTCCGGCCGAGTGCGCCGGCCCGGCCCCGACCCCAGCGGCTCTGGCCCAGCTCGGGCCCCAGGGCGGCGGCCCCAGTTCTGGCCGAGCGCGCCGGCCCCGGCCCCAGCGGCTCCGGTTCCGGCCAAGCGCGCCAGCCCTGACCCCAGCGGCTCTGGCCCAGCTCGGGCCCCAGGGCGGCGGCCCCGGTTCCGGCCGAGCGTGCTGGCCCCAGCGGCTCCGGCCCAGCTTGGGCCCCAGGGCAGCTGGCCCGGCCCCAAGCCCCGCGACTCCGTCCGGAGTGCAGCCCGATTCCTGGGCTCTTGTTAAAGCCGGCCCTGGTCAGGGGACGGGGGGGGGGGGGGGGTGGGTCGGGGGCTCTGGGGGGGCTGTCAGGGGGGCAGGGTTGTGGAGAGGGGTTGAAGCAGACAGGGAGCAGAGGAGGTTGGATGGGTCAGGAGTTCTGGGGGTCCTGTCAGTGGGCGGGGAGCAGTTGGATAGGGCATGGGAGTCCCGGGGGTCTGTCTGGGGGTGTGGGTGTGAATATGGGGTGGGGGTGTGGATAAGGGTCGGGGCAGTCAGGGGACAGGTAGGATCCTAGGGGGGCAATTAGGGTGGGGGGTTTTCAGGAGGGGGCAGTCAGGGGACAAGAAGCAGGGGGGGCTTAGATAGGGGGTGGGGTCCTAGGGGGCAGTTAGTGGCAGGGGTCCCAGGAGGGGGCAGTCAGGGGACAAGGAACGGGGGGATTGGGGGTTCTGAGGGGGGCAGTCAGGGGGTGGGAAGTGGGAGGGAGTGGATGGGGCGGGGCAGGGCAGGGGCGGGGCTAGAGCGGGACTCCTCCCCCCATGTCCTCTTTTTTGATTGTGCAAATATGGTAACCCTAGTGTGTGTGTGTAAAAATATAATATACACACTTAAAGTGAGATTAATGTGTAAGGAAACAATGTCTTATTCTGTTCCTATTGAGTTCATTGGTAGTTTTGCCATTGACGTCAGTGAATCCAGGATTTAGCCTAAAGAGGTGTAGAAGCATATACCACATATAACTATTATTTGTCTTAGTTACCCTTTGATTATTGACCATATCCTCAAGTTGGTTTAAAGTTGGAAAGGTTGCCCTGTTCATTCTGGAAACAACACATATCTTCTTGTATGGCATGTGGTAAGCAATTATACCCTGTGAAACACAACCACAAGTTTCAGCAAATCTTCTTTTCCTTTCATTTCCAAATAATTTATCCTATTTTAAAGACTCTTGCAAATCAGGGTACTTGAGATATTTACAAGCTGCTTCACACTTGCACTTTGCTTCTAGTTTGACAAGAATCAGAGTTCAATGCACTGGTTGAATTCATCTCTTGTGTAACTCTATGGATTTCAATGCAGCTACGCCACAGACACATTTGTGCAATGGATTTTGCTTCTAAAAATACACTCATGCAACCTCCAAACAGCCTTAAGGATTATGTAGCAAATGACAGTCTGCCCAGTTCAGATGGTAGGTCCAGCAAGAGAATCAAGACACCTAGGCTAAAATCTACTTATATTTACACTGATGAAAATCTGGAATAATGTCAGAATGTGACTCCAGCTGGCCTTTGTATGATTTTACAATCCAGTGTCTTCACTATGAATTAATTTTGAATATATATGAAATAGATGAATTCCAAAGCAGTGGTGGTAGGGAATACCAGTTAAATATTAGATATTTTGGCTTTCACTTCTTGGAATTTAATATAAAGACCTAAATGCTCAAAAATCTGCTTGGAAAATGAAAATATCTCTAAGAAAAGGGCATTTATTTATTTAATGTTTCAGGAGCTTGCACATCTATTGCACAGGTCTGTAGGAGACTGAAATATGCACTTGACTCAAATGCCTGCCAGCTCTGTTGGCCACCAGGGACTACACTGCCTCTTCCATGTCCCCTTTGGGGTGGTTAGTCCATTAAAGAATGCTAGCAGAGAGCAGTCCTTGCACGGAGATCAGAACAGTCCTTAACATGAAGGACATCAGAGCAGAAAGCTCCTAACACCACCTTATGCCCTGGTATAGAGGTCAAGCAAAATCCAGCATTACAGTTAACATGGTCACACTGCATGTTAAGGTTCCATTTAAAAAATATCGATAAAGGGTTAAAAAATGATTAATAGGTGTTATAAGCATGTTACAGACTTGAGTAGTATGTGCTATAGAAGGTTGTAAGCACATCATTAGAAGGTGCTATAGATGGTTATAAGCAGCCTATTGACCTTTTGGACTCTATAACAATCTATAACAATTTATTAATCATTTATTAAAACTTCTACTAATAATTTATTAACCCTTAATAAACTATTTCTAAATGGAACATTGATGTAAGTGTTATCATTTACATGTATAAAATGGTAGTTTGTCTTTTGCTCTATTCATAATGGAATTTTGTATTTTTTAACACACATAGCTTCCATGCCTGTCTGTTCATTTATTAAGAAATAATGTCTGCTGTGGGGGTAGACAAAAAATTATCTTAAGAATTTAACCAGGGGGCTAGCTTCTTTCCATATGATCTAAAAAAGATGCTAAATTACTTCATCTTTCAATAGTGGATGGATTATCCATTTGCTTTCAAGTCTAATGTCATTCCTTTCCAGTGAGAGCTTTCAGAGAAATAAAGCACATCTTTCAAGTTGCTTAAAGTACATATTTTTATTCTATTTGCAGTGAACGTTATGTAAGCTGAACAAAGCAACCAGATCACCTCTTTTGACACTTACATGGTCGTAGTCGAAGATTGCATTGGAGGAGTGTGCTCCGGAATAAAGGTTGAATGTAGCAACGTTCACATTATGATTGATGTTCACTGTCTGGTAGACAGTTCCCCCATCATTTCCCTGATTTATGAGCTGGATATTCTAAAATGAAAGATTTATTGTCAGATAACATTGTATTGCAACCTAAAAATGTCTCTCAAACAGTTGCATCTAACAGAGAAGAATGGTGACATCAGAATAGTAGGGAAGCTAATACATAAAAGTCCAACTCAGTTAGATTACCCAATAGTGGGGAAAGGTCTGATTCAGATTTACATCCACTTCTAAACAACTTCCACTACTCACCCTATGGCTAGGGTACAATTCGGTCTAGGGTTTTGATTATAGTTAGGTTTATATTTACCGTTTGGCCCAGGATTAGGATTAGGGTCATTCCTTGCCTGAAGGCTAAAGATAGGGTTAGGATTACTGCTTGGTTTATGGATAGGGTTAGGTTTAACCCAGCTGTTCCCAAACTGTGGTCTACTGAATATTTGCTGATGCCCAAAGACTTCATTGGCCATATGATGCTCATTCCTTTTCCTTATTTCCACATGATAATTGCATTAAATGAAAGTAAAAATAATTAAATGTAATTAAAAAATTTTGTGTAAGCAAATGTTGCAGTTGCCCGATGGACGGGTGGTGGTTTGTGTAATGACTAAGGGAAGCAGGCTTCCACAAGACAAATCCCTCCATTAAGATGTGACCAATGTTATGAAAAAGTTGGTGAATCTCTGCTCTAACTCCTACTACCAAAGGATCTATTGGTTGTGAAAATGTAGGAAGTCTAGCCTATTTGTTACGAGAACTATCTTTTCCACTAGGTTCTAAGGAATGGTGCCTTAGATTTCCCATTCAAGATCATCTCAGGCCATTGCAGAAATAAAATGCATGAAACTTTGAGGATGGTTATAAAGGAAGCTGTTCCTTCCAGATAGCTTTTAGAGGGTACCCACCTGCTAGTCTATCCCTACCCATATAGAAGATCAGCCAGCTGCATGAGATTTCAGTGTTATAGTGTCATTTTTATTAATTAACACAATAGCTAGGAGAACCATAGATAAGTACTTTAAAGCAAGCAAGCTCATTGCCTACTATTGTCGCTAATGAGCCAAGTTATAATGAAGAAAAGTACTGGGAGAGTTCAACTTAAGTTTTTTTGTATATAACTTGGCAATGCTATGTTTTTCAAATAAAATATGAGCAAATGTTTTTTGCTTTTGGAGACTGATTTTTACATGCTAAGCAATAGCAGGAGTGTGGAGAATTTAAGGGAAACATTGTCATAAATGTGTTACATTAATTCACATATTAGCAGAGAGTGACTCATAAAGAAAGATCCATATTTTGATTTAATAAGGATGGTAATCTCATAAACAATATGGCAAAGCAGATCCATGAAAGAAGAATCATAAAACTTGACACATGGCCCTCTACTTACATTACTCGCAAAGACTGGATTCATAAAGATACCCAGAACGACAAGAAGCAGAATCTGTAATACAGCATGGAAAACATTAAGGGAGATTTCTATACACTCTGCAGGTCCTTTTTAATTGCCAAATGCAACTAAAATCACATGGTAATAAGCAGCTCCTCAGTCTTTCTGATTTTCCACAAATTCACGTAAGTTACTGAGTGGGATTTTATAATTCATTTATTTTATCTTTTCTATTCACAAGGGCTACATAATACAACTGTACTTAGGTGGATCATTCTAATTAATAATGTAACACCTGTAAGGCTAGATTCTGAGCTCAGTCCCCAGAGTGATTCTATTGTTACTCCAGTTTTATACTAGTGTAATTGAGATTGGAATTTGGTCCATTAAGTAGAACGGGATGCTTCTAACTTAACTCAATAGCTATTTTCCTACATACAGAACTATGGGATTTCTTCCTCAATTAAGTGTCATGTCCTGTCCCCCAAAATATTGAAAGTATGGTTTAATTGCTTGACATGCTAGCATTCTCCATGCAGCGTTCTTGATTATTTAGAGAGCATTTTTTAAAAAACCTGGAGTCAAATCCTGCAGTCCTCACTCAGGTCATGTTCCTGCCCACACTTCATGCATGTACTTAAGTTTATTCATGTGCCTAGTCTCGTTGGTTCTCAGGAACAGGGCATCAGTCATCACTCGGCAAGGAAAGACTGAGTACAGGCTTCATGGTAAAATTCTGGCCCCATCGAAATCAATGGGAGTTTTGCTAATGACTTAAACAAGACCAGGATTATACCTTGATGTATTGTTGCAGGATTGGGGGCCTTCACAAAAGGGCCTGAGATAGGCACCTACCTCCCATTGACTTTAAATGGAAGTTAGACACCTCTCCTGCTTAAGAGCTTTTGTAACATCCATTAGGTGCCTATCTTCATCTTTAGGTCCTGAAATAACTTTGTAAATCTGAGTCCTGTTGACTAAATTTGAGTGTGGGTGCTTGGCATGTCTCAAAATCAGGTCCTCAGGATCTCAAGTTGGACTCCAAAAAATTGGGGCACCCCAAATTAGTGGCCACTAATAGTGAAAAATTAGGCCTAAGGGCACAGTCTTGTCAGGTGCTGAGTCCCTTCCCAATCCCATCTCCCATTTTCTTATATCTTATCTATCCCATTGACTTCAATGGGAACCATGGACTCTCAGAACAGCCCAGAGTTGGGCCCTAAATCTACTAAAATACAAACCATTTAACAGAAAATGTAGGTTGTCAAAACTACTTACAAGTGTCTTCATTTTGAAGCCAACCTGGATTTGATGCTGATTTGACACAAAATGCTGAAGAAAATGTATTTATATGTCTTGAACTGACCTTATATATTTTATCAAGGTTGGATCTGAACAAAAGCCCCCAGATAAAATATTTGTTTTTCTCATTACGAACAGAAGTGAAACACTGGAGCAAACTAAATATTTTCTGTGTTCTATATTTATCTATGAGGCTGGGTAACACATATTCCCTGTCAACAGTCTTTATCAAAGCCTTCTGTTTGAGATGATTAATGATACAAACATGAGCATTAAATAGACCATGGAGTTTGGTTCAATGCAACCAAAGGAGAATTTCCCCCTTTTCTCAGTCTGTTTTCATCACAGTCTTATTTTCAAAACCCTTTCGATTAAGTGTTGTCTAAATCATGTGATGATACAAATTTTCAGAGCATTCTGTGAGAGATCTGAGTTGAGGGGCTCATTCTCTGCTTGCTTGTGGTCTGGAGGGCCCTATTCAGCCTGGCACCTACTGTGCACTGTGTCAGAAATGTCAGCTACTCTCTAGAATGGTCATCTTCAGACCAGTGCTGGAAATGGCAAGAAGCACATTTGCATATATGCTAACAGGGGGTGTGCATTGAGGTACACAAACTTTGGGAAGCGGCAAAGTGACATGAGATCTTTGTCTCAACCCTGGATAGAAAATAGAAGGAAGGGCCGATGGATGGATTAAATTTCTGTAAATCCTCTTTTGGATGTGGTTTCTTGAGATTCTTAAGGGACTTGGGCCCTCATTCTCAGGGAGCTAGATGACAGATGGACAATGGGTTTTTTTGTTTTGTTTTGTTGTTGCTGAGCAGCATTTCTTTGGAGCTGGGGTTTGATAAGTGACTGAAACCTCCATTCTTTAGCTTGTGCAAACTTTGGCTTTAAAAATAAATTCTTCTAAAAACCTTCGTTCTAGTTCCTGCTAGAGGGGGAAGTTATGCAGAGAAATACCAGTAAGAGAGCAAAGTAGGTCATGGCACAAGTTTGAAGATTCCTGAAGGTGCTGCATAATTCCTCCAAAAATAAATGAAAAACCTTGCTGCACTTTGATTCTTGCCTTGTTCTGTCATTTTTTGCATCACAGCATCCTGTGTAAGAAGAGAATTGAGGCTGTGTACAGGGATTAAAAATGAAAGTCTAGTGAAATAGCCACAAGAAAAGAGCTGACAGCAGCTCAAACAGTAAAAAATAAAAAAAGAAAAGTCCGTCTCCCACTAGAGTTAATTTGTGGTCATTTAGACACTTTTCTTGAAATGCAGGCCGGTGTAACCAAGCAAACTCAGTCTGCTTCCAAACTGGTGGAAGAATAAAACCCAAAGGGATTAGTAAAAATCTTAAAATGTGTTGGGAATGGAGGAATTGTCTGTGGCTGGCTGTTTTCTCCTGGAATTCACTGCTTCATAGATTATAAAGTTCATGAGTTCATAAGGAAAGCTTTATGATCTGTGAATCATACACTACAAGTATGTGCTAGGAATCTGTGCTGTATCATGCGTGAATCATGTGGAGAGAAGAGTTCACTCTTCTGGACTCTCAATCTGGATCCTTTTACAGACTTTAAATTTATATGAAAAATTTTAATTATAAGCCCTTCCCCTAAAAAACCCCCTCAAACCTCAAATCAGGAATTTTTCATTTACAGCCTCCCTGCCAATCTTGGCTTTGCTTTCTGTATACCTTAATTCTGCCCTCAGTACACCCACTCTCCTTATTGGAATCAAAGAGCCATTCTTCCATGTACCCTAACCTCTTTCCACATACAGGCCCTTTACATACACGTACTGTATGAATCATTGTATAAAGTTTGCCACAAGAACTATGGACGTCGATGGGGTATGTCTGTATTTAAGACTTGAACAGCTCTGTATAGCTCAAAAGCTTGTCTCTTTCATCAACAGAAGTTGGTCCAATAATAGTCATTATCTCACCCACCTTGTCTCTCATGTATTTATCAAGGCTTTTACAAGCAGCAAAGTACAACCATTCCTTGCATGGCCTGATTTTTTAAAGTTCGTCACATCACATCTACACTTTGTGATGCCAAATTAAAAACAGAAAAAATAAGCTAAATAAGAAATAAGCCTATATCAAGAACATGGTTTATTCAATACCAGGGTTACTTTCTGAAAAGATAAGGTTGGGAAGGGGCACATGGCCATTTGAGTGCCTATCTTGACAACCACTGATCCATCTGTTGGGCCACTAAACCAGTTATTTCGATGTCTCTGGCTTGGCTTCCCCCTCTTTCAGTTTTCAGTAGAACTTATTCTCTTCTCTGTCAGCTTTAAACTGGCTGTCCACAGTTGTTCTCTGTCTCAGGTACAACGCACTACATTAGGCCAAATAAGCAATATCACATTCATCATACGAAATAATGATATTCTAATCCTGGGCAAGAAATGAAGTTCCTTAATATTTCAGATACATTTTTAAAGCTTGGGAAAGATAAATGATGTGCTTCAACTAAAAATAATTCCACTGCTCAAGAGTTTAATTGTCCACAACAGCCCTTTAACTTGAGAAGCCTAAAAAACCCTAACTTCCTCCAAATTTTGTAATTCACCTAGTTCATCAAAGCTTCTCTAGAGACAGTTTGTAGTCCAGCCTTAGATGTCCATGCAGGGGAGGAAGGAGGAGTGAGATCCCATGTCTGTACTCTTGCATGGGGATATGGTTGTACCCCTTGGGGGAAGGATAGAGTGTTCCCTCATGCCATGCTTGAGATTTGGTTCAGTCCTGACCCAAAGGTGTGCACCACAATCAGTAACCTCATTTCCTGAAACTTGTTGGGTTTCCTTGAATATCTCCCACCCACATATTGACCGGATCCAGCCTTGACTTGCATGTGAGATCACATCCTGACTTGTATGACTAAGGATATAAAAGATGAGAAACAAGACACAGCTGATTCCAATGCTAAATGTATTTAATTGACAGACATCGTAACAGCCTAGGTTTTTCTACACACAAAGCATAAAGGGAAGACAAAGACAAAACATCAAGAAAATGGAGTGTCACGGGAAGAATAATGACAGAACTGATTTTATCCAATCAGCGGACACATTGTCAGACCAGTTCCAAGCAGTGAAGAATTTACTACTTGAATGACATGTCACAGTAGGCAATATTAATAACCCACAGGATGCTAGCATCAGCACAGGTTAGAGAGAAGTAGTTTGCTCCTTTCGCTCCTTAATGAAAAGAAAAAGAACAGTTATTGTCAGGTGATGCCTGAAGTGGATGTTAGGAGATCTGTGCATTCATTACAGTTCAAGCCACACAGAACCCTGCACCTCATATAGTCACTAACACCTGCACAAAGTGATCACAAAGTAGGTGTGAAATGCTACCCAATCAGAGTGGCAACATGTGCAAGGTAATGGAGAGTCAGACCCAGAAAATTCCCACTGTTCTACAGGATTGATTCCTTGAATAACACTGAGTTCCTGTAACAAGGAACTTCTTTCCTGCAGAACAAATAAAAATTTTAATGAGATCAAGTAGGACAAGACATAGCAGCCACCTCAGACAGTGGATGATTTGTCTCTGCATGGTTTGTGACCTCTACTATTTTTGGTAACAGTTCAACAACATTTGTTATAAAAGAATATATTTCTATTACTCTGGTCAAAGAATCTTTTTAATATAAAATTTTTTCAAATGTATAAATAAAAGTATAAAAAAAATACAATCAATAAAGCCAATTGGATTTTTGCCTCAAAAATGACTGACCAAAAATTTGTGCTAATTTGTATTCTTCAATGATCCCTAGCTAATTAATCCTCTCAACAATCATGTGTGGTAGTTAAGTAATAGCTGTTATTCCCATCAAGAACCTGCAAGGTGCTAAGAAATGTGGCCTGATCCAGCAAAACGCTTAAGAACATGTTTAACTTTTGGCATATGAATAGTCCCACTGTAGGATTGAGCCCTCAGCAGTTTTTCCATGGCCGAGTCAGCAGTGAATGGGTTAGAAGCTAGTAGTTCCTGAATCCCAGCACCAAGTTTACTCTACTAAACCACACTGTCTCTCTTCTTTATCTTAGAGATAGATCCAAGGTACAAAATTCTGTACCAGAGTTTGAACAACCCAATGTTTGGGAGTGTTGGAATCTGAGCTTTTACCATTATAGAGGTATAGACTGACTGCAAAAAAAAAAAAAAAAAACAGATCCAGAGTCTAATACCCTTCTGAAGCACACCAAGTTCTTTGTTCTTGTCCATCTCTACCTAGGACAGTAACATTCATTCCATGCAGGAAATGCAACTCAATTCACTTCATGAATAGTTACTTTAACTTGCACTCACTCTCAGCCTCATGAGCCACATAGGTAGGAAGTCCTCTGCATAAAGCTTCAATGTTCTTTCCGTAAGGGGTCAGATCAGGAACTCTGGTTTTTGAGACAATGAATCTCAGTTCCTTCGGAGGAGGCCCTTGAGCTCCGGTCTTCTAAACATCCGGAAAGCAAACTCAGAACAATGTCATTCAATAAAACTGAGGACTAGAATCATTTATTACAATTTATGTTCCTGTACTGACATTTCTGACACAGTGCACAGTGTGTGCCAGGCTGAATAGGGCCCTCCAGACCAGAAGCAAGCAGGGAATGAGCTCCTCAACTCAGATCTCACACAGGGGCACAAAGTGGAGGTAGGGACAGAAGACGCAATCATGCATTATGAGAAGAGCATTGAAACTCCATAAAGCTGACTGCGGAAAAGAGAAAAGTAATCTATACTTTACCTGGGCCTTCTCTCTAAAATATTCCCTTAATCCTATGCTCAATCCTGTACATGGGTTTGTAGATAGGAGAAGTGAGGGGTTGGGAATCTATTAATTTATTTTCTCATAACCATAACAAATGAGAAGGCAGGAACATGTGTATTAAACACATTTGCTGGAAATGTTTACAACCCGTTCTTGAGAACGCTAATGAATATATTGATAGAACGGCATATTGTTTGGTAGAACTAAGTGAAAATTGGAATTTCCATCCCACAAAAAAACCTGATGTTTCAACATTTGTTTTCATCATGAATTGGAACAAAAAGTTGAAATACTGAAATTTTTCAAGGAATATAAAATTCCAGAAAATTTTTGATTTGGGAATGTAAAATTTCATTTTGCATTTTTGATCAAAAAGGAATATTTTGATATTTTTGAATCAAATTGTTTTTCTTCAGTTTGTTGAACTGACCCAAACTGCTGTCTTTTGTGTCAGTTCAGCATTAAACTGTACTTTCCTATTCTGGCTCATTGCCTCATTGAAGCTGTAGATCAGGTTGCCTGATGTCCCTGTTCTCCTCTGTGGGCAGGCTCTCTGACTCAAGTACATGTCCCATGATGCACCTGCAATGATGTGACTCCCATGACATGTAATGCCACTCAGTCAGAAGAAAAACTCTGTTGCATCATGAGAGATGTAAAATTGAACTGACTCAAAATGAAGCATTTTGGGTTAAACTGATCCAAAACAAAATAGTTAGTTTATATTTTCCCAATAAAAAAATGAATTAATCAAAAACAAAATTTCCCATAGAAAATTTCAATTTTGCAGCAACTGCATTTTCCATCAGAAAATCATTCTGTTGAAAAATTCCCAGCTAGCTCTATTGTTGAGCTTGGGTTATTTGAAGCAGTGCTGAAGGCTGTGATGGACTATGATGGGGTATCTTCCAATAAGGAATTTTAAAAACACCTCAAATCTGTCCCTAATTCGGTGCAATCTGGTCTTCTCCAGAGTGAGAAAGTATGTTCTTAAGGAATATTTCGATGAGCCCCAGAGTTATGTCATATTTCGCAGGGAGGACTGAGAAATATCCCTCTAGTTGTATGGTGGAATTGTAACAAGGGGCTGAGCTCTTTTGAAAATCTAGCCCCAATTGTGTGTTCTGAGCCATTGAAAATATGTCCTTGAGTTCCTTTGAAAAATTGGCCGCCTCTAAAGCCTTGGAGAAAACCATGTTTGGCCAGAGACATTTGTTCCCCTCCAATTTCAGCTGTTCAGAACATGGATTTTATCTGATGTGAAAAATTTTGAAATTTGATATTTTGTTCATCCTAATTAGGATGAAAAACCAAAATTTTGAATTTTTTCATGAAATGAAATTCTGGAAAAAATATTTTCAGTTGTATTGTTTCATTTCAATACATTCAGAATGTTTCATTTTCATTCTGACCCTGCTGGGTTTTTTTTTATATATATATAAAAAAATAAGCAGAATCAAAATGAAAATATTATATATATATTTAAAAACAAAGCTTCAAAAAAAATTTTTGTTACAAAAATGTCAAAACAGGACTCTTCTAAAGTTTTTTCATATTTTTTCTGAATAAAATTTTGTCAAAATCAATATGATATTGTAAAAATTTTCAGTTTCATCTAAACAGGAATTTCTGACAGAAAACTGTTTTGATGAACGTTTTCCTACCTACAACAGCTCTACCTCCAGCATCTTAAGATGATTCATTTGCACAATTAGCTTTATGCTACTAGGGTTTGTTTATATGGGGACACTCAGGAAAGTTAAGATGAATTCATTAAAGGTGTGAAGTTAATGTGCATAAATTAAAGTGTGTTAACACCCCCCTGCCCCCAGTGTGGACAATCTCAGAAAATGGCCCAAGTTTGTGGAGGATTAAACTACAGTGAACTAAAGCCACTTTAGTCATGAATGAGAGCATGTGTGGGGGTGTAGACAAGCCCTTAGAACAGTGGTTCCCAAACTGGGGTTCG